GGGGGGAGAGGGGGAAGAAGAGTAACCTGCATCAATGGTTACCAAGGACAAAAACAAAGTTAGCAAAGAACATATATATTTTTAAAAGGCAACCTGGGTACAAAATTTAGGTAAATTAAATGCCCCTGAATGCAGGCAAACCACAGCATCGATCACTTCACATGCAGCATGGCAGCCCTACTATTTGCACAGCCTTACATCATGAGACAGATTCTTTAAATACTCTACCTGGTTTGTGCACTGCAAGAGTTACAATGAATGACAATGCAGAATAGTACTAAGGGATTTACAGACACAAACAGCAGATTTGATCGCCATAAAAGACTATCACTTAAAATATTACCATCCTTGAAATAATTTCAAATTACAACCTCTGATAGCTGTAGCTCTCCAAATTAAAATAAATAATCATGAACTAGCAGAGTATATTTTGGACTCCGAATGAGCCCTCTACTTCCAAAATTCCAGCAATCCAAGCTATGCAACAGACGCACTACAACAAATTTGGAAAGAAGTATACAAAGCATATAACATTATTCGGCTGCTAGATATTAAATAGTCCATTACTGTGCATAGCAGATGGCACTGTATGTTATAAAATCCTATCTGAGGTATTCAGATTTTTGGTTTGGAAAAAGAAACAAAAGTTGTTTGGCAGCTCTTGTTCTTTGATCTAACTGCTAACTCAGAAACATATATTCAAGAAAAATGATTCAGCTTGAGTGAAAACACACATGTAAGCAGTTTCTTAAAGGCAAAAATCAAATTTGCAAATATCCCAAACAATTGATACAATTATAATATTACAGAAGATCCTGTGAAGATCCTTCTTGACAATCTGTATGGGATTTTCTATTTGATTTCTGACCAATTTTTTTTTTTTTTTTTTTGAAAAGGACAAAAGTGATTCCTTATTCATAGAGCACTGTCTGGTAGTAAAGATTAATTAGTTAGTGATCCTTTTAGCAGATAATTAAAAATAAATGAATGAAGAATTTATCATGTTTTTACAGATCCATAAATGAGAACTATGTGAGGAAACTACTATGAAGTACAATTGTGGAATTTTCCTTTTGTTCTGTATTCATTACTGAGGTCCTATCACAGAGAAAGGGAGCTGAAGTCTACAGATCGTATAGCATAGGCTGTAGATGACTGCCTAATTTTGAAAACAGGAAAATTAAATTAGAGGTTATTTTGGGATCTAAAGCAATACTTAATATTCTCATTTATGCCAAACACACAAAGCTAATGGTTTTAGAGGGGATTGTTTTCAGATTTGAGCAGCAGAATAACCCGGAGCCAATAAATTTTCTGATCATCGGTGCTGTGCTGCACTCAGGAAGAAACAAAGTATTTAAAAAGAAAGAAAGTGGTAGTTAATTCTCAGAAGAAAAAAAAATCGGCTTTGAATTTGTCAAAACTTATTGTTTTCAAACCCAGAGAGAAAAAAAAACAACTTGCTCCAATTCCCCAACAAACTGAATGTTTCAGAGACTGCATTTTGTCCAGTAGCATCACTGCATGAGAATATAGAATACTGTTGTGGCAAAGTATCACTGGATATTATTGTGGCAAAAAGAGGAAAACAATAATATATTACAGATAACGGATCTGCTTTATTTTTTCTTCCCACAGTTAAATAGTATTTACATTTTATAAGTTAATAAGCATCAACCTATTTCCAAACTCTAGGCCCTAGTCACGTGACGTTAGTTCATTCAACTGTCACTGAAGTTAACGGCAATTTAGAATGCTCAACACTTCACACTTAGCATCTCATAGCAATGAAACTTCTTTTCTTTCCGTCAAAGCAACCAAGTCTTCATTTTTTGAAAACATTTGTTATCCTCAACTAAATTTCTTTTCAACGAATTATTTGGTTTAAAAATAACCATGTTAAAAATCTAGCTTCCTGGTTTAGTGGTAGGTAGCTCTGATTTTAAAACTTACAATGTGAAGACTTTGTTCCATTCAGGGTTGAGATTCTTGTAGACTGTATGCGTCAGCAGTCTGTCATTGTTCAACTCAACTACACAAAATGGGTCACTTTTACCTAGAGAAAGAATATGGAAGAAAATCCATGAATATTCTGCACCTAAAACCTTATAGAACCCTCCTCTCAGCTTGGATTTAAAAAAAAAAAAAAAAAAAAAAAAAAAAAAAAAGAACGTAATGACGAATTCACATGTACTACTCTTCTCATCACAAATTGCATGATCCTTCAAGGTGCTGTGCACAAGGACGCTTCATATAGACTTACCCCCTATAGGATAAGTTATATAGTTGCACAGATCAGATAATTAAATCATTCTGGCACACAGGAAATTAAGAGGCATAATGCAAAGCAAATTATTCCGCTAATACTTGGTTACATATTTTTCCTCACATAATAACAAAAATTAATTCATGAAAGTGAATGGGGTAAAGAACATCCAGCTCCAAGTCTATTTTTATTTTCATAACCATTACTTGAAGGCAACCACTTCATTTGTTGCATCATTTCCCCCTCACATATGATCAATAAAATGAAGTACCATTTGCTGAACATTACATGTAAATTTCAACATGACCTGATGCTGATGACTTAAAACCAAATCTATGCTTATTTATATGCACAAGCATCCTATTTAAATCAGTGTTTAATATAAGGTACATGTGTATGAAAAGCTGCATATATGGTTGTGAATCATTAAGAGTTTCAACGCATAAGTGCCAAGCACCAAAATAACTTAGTCCTATAGATTGAGGGAACTACGCCTCCCTCACACAAATTAACAAGAACTAAAGAGGGGTTCATCTTTGTCTTTGGTTTGTCCATAGAAAACAAAGCATTTGAGAGTTATTGAATGTTAGCATAAGCTCTCCACAGTCAAATCTGCATCCTAAGCAATTATATTTCACAATGTCTTCAATATTCCTGTAATACAATATCATGTATGGTAAGAACACAAATTCAGTGGTTTGATGGAGCTATATTAATGATATTAGGAAGGCATGTAATTTGTTCATACCTTATACAAATGACAATGAAATCAATATTTAGACAAAGCTCTCTAGAGGTCACATCTTCCAAACTGCAATATTGATTCGGACTACAACAGAGGTTAATGTGTATATTATTAAGTTTAATGCTAAAGAATAATTGTTTTAAAGACTGTGAATTACAAGCACAGTGGACATTTACATTCTATAGGAAACAGAATATCACTGAATCTTTTACATTAAATTTGTAATACGCATCTTGGAAATTTTCCCTGCCATATAACAACTCTAGAAGGAAGTTAGAGACTGATTTCTCACATTTCTTATGTTTTCAATATTTCAAAAGAAAATTAGAACAAATGTAGTAGCTGAGCAGAGTACACTTATTGTATCACATCCTTTGTTCACTTGTATTTGCATATGATTGTACAATATGATGTGTGAAATCACTGTATAGACACAGGAATTTTCCCTGCCATATAACAACTCTAGAAGGAAGTTAGAGACTGATTTCTCACATTTCTTATGTTTTCAATATTTCAAAAGAAAATTAGAACAAATGTAGTAGCTGAGCAGAGTACACTTATTGTATCACATCCTTTGTTCACTTGTATTTGCATATGATTGTACAATATGATGTGTGAAATCACTGTATAGACACAGGAATGTGGTTAAAAAGTTTTCTTGCACTGCCATGTCCAACATACCCTTTACTATAGTAGGAAAAGGAAATAATGAAGACACTCCGTTTGTTTACTGCAAACTTTGAAAGATACAGGCAGTCCCCGGGTTACGTACAAGATAGGGACTGTAGGTTTGTTCTTAAGTTGAATCTGTATGTAAGTCGGAACTGGCGTCCAGATTCAGCTGCTCCTGAAACTGACCGCCAGTTCCGACTTACATACAAAATCAACTTAAGAACCCCAGGCGTCCCCAAGTCAGCTGCTGCTGAAACTGATCAGCAGCTGATTCCAGGAAGCCCGGGGCAGAGCAACTCTGCCTCGGG